CTATAAGCATTTTGTCTCGGTTCATGCATTGTGCAAGTGAAATGCATCTCAAGGCTGCAAAGAGAGTGATTAGATATGTCAAAGGCACTTGTAATTTTGGCATCAAATTCATGAGAAGCAAAGAGTTCAAGCTGGCTGGTTTTTCAGATAGTGATTGGGGAGGTTCCATTGATGATATGAGGAGCACTTCAGGCTACTATTTTACACGTGGTTCTGGTGTTTTCTCTTGGAGCTCGAAAAAACAAGAAATTGTAGCTCAATCTACAGCTGAAGCAGAGTTTATTGCAGCCACAGCTGTGGTGAATCAAGCTATGTGGCTAAGAATGATTTTAATTGATCTTAACATGGAGTAGAAGGAAAGCATGGAGATTCTTGTTGACAACCAAGCTGCTATTGTTATCTCTCATAATCCCGTATTTCACGGGAAAACTAAGCATTTTAACATCAAGTCATTCTTTTTGAGGAAGTACAAAAAGATGGAGCTGTGGTTCTTCTCTACTGCAAAACAGAAGATCAGGTTGCAGATATTTTCACAAAACTACTGCCGGTTAACAAGTTTGAGATTTTCATAAAGACACTTAGAATGTGCAGCATCTAAACAAGGAAGAGGGTTAGACATGTGTTTTAGAGTGTTGCTACGTCGCAGAAGTTGTTAGACATTCAGCCACGTTGTTGAAGTTTTTATTTATTTATTTTTAAATGATTCAAAGTAGTCTACCTAGTTTTTAGGAAGTTGCTGATTTTCAGTTATGCATGTTTGTAACCATGGCATAAATTAAGGCCATGACTTTAGTTAGTTGTTGTTCATCAAGTTATAAATTGTAATGTTTCTGCAGTTAATGAATTAATTCAGTCCTTTGCTTCAAAATACGTCTCTCAATCTCCATTTGTTTTCCTAAATAACAACAAGGTTCTTGATGGTGCGAGCCACTTGACAAAAAGGACCATAAAAGCCACCGCGTGGAGGATGCTCGAAGCGGTAGACGAAATCGTCAAGGATGTCTTCTATGTCGTAATTGACTTATCTCACTTGTTTAGCCCATTCTTTGATTTCCGGTTCTTCATCTTCAACAACATCAGCCTTTTGCAGAAAGGCTTTCATACTTCGGAGCTCATCTTTGACAGAAGCAATTTCTTCACGAAATCCAGTTAAGAGTTTTGCCTCTTTCCTGAGCAAGGACGTAAGCTTTTCTACTAGAAAACTCACAGCACACTCTGCCATATATTTTCCCCTTTGGTTTAGGTTTTTCTAGTGGTATAGCTGATACATTTAATTTTATATGTCAATTATTTACATTTTCAACTTAATTTTATGATATAATATCAGTAGGTTTTTCTAGTGGTATAGCTGGTACATTTAATTTTATGTGTCCCATTTTATTTCTGCACATTTAATTTTTTGTGCCCCTTTTTTTTTTTCCAAAAAAAAAAAAAAAAAAAAAAAAAAAAAAAAAAAAAAGATAAAAGTTTTTATTGAAAAAAAAGGAAACTAAATGAAGCAAGACAATTGAAGAATGCAGTGATATCTCTGCACTTATTGCCGTGATTTAAGGAAAAGAAAAAAAAAGTGTAAGAAATTGTTTCTCCATCAAAAAAGTTACCATTGCTGTGCTCCATAGAAGCACCATCTTGGAGCATGAATGGCAAGGAATATATTTATATTTAGATGAATTTTTAATGGTACGTTTTTATTGATAGTCACTTATTAAATATAATAATTTAATAATATAACAATATGAGAATTTAATTTTATTAATTATAATAAATTAGAAAACAATAATATTAGAATCTCAACATATGTTTATTTCCTGTTGTTCATCTTTAAATACTTTATTCAACAAATATTAGGATTAGTTAATTTCTATACTTAACAAAATCGTCAATCCTCTTGAGAGCGATATTTTTTTTAATCATGTTTTCACTTGTACGATTTTATGCACTTGCAAAATCCGCATCAATATCTATTTGTCTTTTGCCTCTGAAGCTAAAATAACCAACTCTTATAACATGTTTGTTTCACGTCTTAAATTTAGAACTAGAGTCTTAAATTTAGAACTAGAGTTGTGTATGTGAAAAAAAAAATTTATTATAATAAAAAATAATTAAATTTAAATTTTTATAAAAAAATATTATAGTAATAAAACTTGAGTCGTGATTTGAGTTATGAAAAAAAACAAGATCGTAGGATTTTGGGAAAGTAGTTGCTAATCCAGTTAAATCAATCATTTTTTCTCATTCAAAGATGTTTTATTAATCTCTCTCTCTGTTCACTTTTTTTTTTCTATATAATGTTTTTTTAGGGCTTCACATAGAAGGTTTTTCCTTGAAACTTCCTATTGTTACGGAAATGGAAAAATGGCTATCATTTATTATTATCACTTCTCAAAGCGAGCATTTTTCCAAGTAGCTTCTCTGTATAGTTGGTTATGTTGAAATATTGGTCGGTGGTAGGTCTGACAATCACCTTGATTGTAGGCTTGACAATCTCCCTTAATTTTACTTGATTGATTGACAATTTGATCTCAATCTTGGGGAATTAGCCATATTTATACCTATATAGAAATTCTTTGTAAATTATTAGAGAATAACTAAATAATTAAAATTCTTGATCTGTCCTGTCGACATAGATAAATTGTCGAACCACATGAAATTCTCTTGTTTTTTCTTTTCTTCTGCTTTTGTTCTTTGTTTTCAACTTGTTATACATTAATATTTTGATTTTAGATAAAAGAGAGGGAGAAACCAACATTAGAAACATCAATATTTTGATTTTAGATAAAAGAGAGGGGAGAAACCAACATCAGAAAATCTAACACATTCTAATTATGTTGACGCATACTAATATAACCGTTCCCTAATAACTCTCACGCTCTAATATTGTTCATTAATGAGAAGAATAATTACAAAGATGAGTTTAAGAACAAAGGAAACAAACAGTAGGGCGAACAAACCACTAAAGCTAAAACAATAAAACCTACTAAGGATGGTGAAATCACAAGAAAACTTGCTACTTGTGTTCCGAATGTTCCCAGAAGATTGTGATAGCTCTAAAAAATAGAGTTACTTTACTTCTAATTTTGTGGAAAAAAACCGGCTTAATTCTCGTGATTTTAATTTATTTTAGTTTGTTTTAATGTATTTTGTTTTATTTTGGTTTTATTAGATTTTTATTTTTTTGTGTGATTTTATTTTTATTTTTATGTAATTTTATTTTAATTTGTATAAATAAACATTTATATAATATAATATATATATGTGTTTTTGTGTGTGTACATATATAACAATATACTATATTATAAATAAATAATATATATTATGTTATATTAGGTTTTTATATAATATAAATATAATAATTTCTATTTTATTTTTATTTTATTTTCAACTTGAATCACATCCATTGGATCAAAGCACTTGGACGGTCAGGATTAGAGAGTGCATTACACTCTTTGGGGGAAGAGAGCGAGCAAACAAGGAAACATCATCGAGCCTCACATGTTGGAAAGCATCTTTCTTGTGTTTATTCCCATGAGAACCAGTTTATATGAGCTTGCTTTCTCCTACAAATCTAGTTGCGCCACGTGTCATGCGTAGTAATTTTATGGTCCGAATCAATTTGAAATGTTTGTTGATTTATGATGGCCAATAGAAATAAGGTTTCACGTAGTCCTTACCGCATCGATTAAATCCAAATTATTGGATTCTTAGGTTGATTTCGGAGGAAGAAAAAGAAGAATGCAACTTGCAAAACTCCGTAACTCTACAATATCCATGCATTGGACTCATCTGTATTCCAAGGCCTATAAATAGGTTGCTTCCCTAACTCTTCAAATCATCCCTTGATTCTTAGAGCTCAAAAAAAAAAGAAAAAAAGAAAAAAAGAAAAAAAGAAAAAAACTTAATTTTAGTAATTCTTAGTTTAAATTTCAAAGTTTGCATTTTTTAGTTTTTAAGTTTGAATTCTAGAGGAGGAGTTCCGAGTCTGCAGAGATATCGAAGTAGATCAGAAATTGTATCTGCCACTAGTATTTGTACTAAAACTCTGCTTTTATTATTGTTGTTATGAAAATGTTATTTGAATTTTTTGTACTGTGTTAGTTTAATTATAATTGTGTTTTAAATTTATTTTTTGTTGTGATAATGACGTAATCATATTATGCGGATTTAATTTGTGTAAACGTCATTGTGATTGTCATACTTGTGTCGACGTATTTATTTTTGGACATAATGCTTTAGAAATTTTTGATCAACTTTTTAAATGAACTGATGATCAAAATGAAACCGAAAGGAGATTTTTGTGACATAGTTCAGAAATAAATACCGTAAATTCTAGGATAGTATAGAGATATATCTATATGTTTTTATGTGGTCATTTTTGAATCCTTAATCTTATTGAACATACTTGTAATTTAATTCACATAGAAATACAGTGTGTTTTAATGAAAATGTATATTTTATATATAACTTGAGAAAGAGTGCGTAAAACATAAGAGGATTTGACCATCAAGTTAGTATGATCTCAAAATCACAGTAATATTTAAATAAATTAAATTCGATTAATATTGATGAAATTATAATTCCCAACATTTTCATAATCATTGTTTTATTCTGATCTTGTCAGTTTAGAAAATAATTTTTATACATTATTATTTTTAAATTTTGTTGTTGTTTTAAATTTAATTTTGAAAAATTAATCAAAATTCATCTTTTCGATTACTCAAATAAAATTAAAATTATCCAATTCTAGTACTTAATGAATATGTTATCCTCATGTGAACGATATTTTAAACTCATATTTTATTACTTATTAGCAATATAGTGCACTTACGATTGACACCACAATAAGTTTTTAGCGCCGTTGCGGAGAATACATGTTAGTTAATATTAATACAAGGTAATTTAATTTTAATTTGAGTTTTGTTTTATTTTAGTTTTCTTTAATTTCTATAATTTAGGATGTGTATGTGAACAACTAGAAATAGAGACTCAAAACTTTTGCCCTTTGATCCTGAAATTAAAAGAACATTTTTTAGATTACTTAGAGAAAGAAGAAGAGTTTCTAGGACTCAGAAACTAAACATGGTTGAAATTGTAGATGTTGCAAACACAAACCCAAACTCAAACCAACATAGGGTCTTAAGAGACTATGCTATACCATTTTCTCTGAGAAACAAAGCAAAAAAAAAGTTGGCTAAATTCCCTCCCTCAAGGAAGTATCATCAAATTGAAGGACCTAGCTCAAAAATTTCTGATGAAATACTTTCTCACTTCGCTCAACATGACATAGAGACTCTGTATGAAGCTTGAGAGAGATACAAGGATATGCTACGAAGGTGTCCTCATCATGGAATTCTTGATCGGATGCAAATACAAACATTCTACAATGATCTAAATGGAAACATCAAGACCGTGATAGACGCTGCTGCTGGAGGTGCTCTTTTGGGGAAAACATTCGATGAAGCATACGAACTGTTGGAGGAGATGGCTTCAAACAACCACCAAGAAAGCCATGGGGATACACGAGATAGATGCAATCACGGCGTTGACAGCTCAAGTGGTAACTCTGACGAAGCAACTTGGAAGCATATAGGTGTATTCAACTTGGAAGCACAGAGATTTACCAAAGATGATCAATCTAAGATTTGTAGGTACAGCCATAGAGCAAAGCCTCATAGCTCTTGGAACATTGATCATTTGATATATCTCGAAATTTGTTCCTTCTGTGAAAGACCTTCCTGCATTAGAGATTAAGTGATTGAATGTTAAGAGGTTGCGATTTGGCAATCATGATCTCTGGTTTGGAATTAATTGGCAGCAGTCAGTTAGAGAATTACCATTTAAATTAAGGATTATCATCCCATTGCGTTAACGAATCTGAGAATTACGAAATGTCTTGCATCGACTGGCAGAAGACTCTCTCAACACCATTTTAGGTTGGCACCTTGGAGCTCACGTCACATGGTTCATCTACACAAATGTATATACGGAAATTAGGCAATGTAAAAATAAAAAATAAAATAAAATAAAATAAATAAAAAAAGTTCTCTCTCAATGTCATTGGTACATACACATAAAATTCAATGCGGATAATCGGGCAGGTAAAATTCAGAAAAAGTTGATTATGAACTTACTCGTATGTTTTCACTCGTGAGAATGAAACCGAACATCTAGACATAATACTGTAGTAAGCCAATTTTGCATGTTCGAATCTTAGAGTCTGCCATTATGAAATTATGAACTCTATATGAGTGCCATAGAAGAGAAAACATAAAAAGAGGAAGAATGCACGCAGTCAAATGAATTCCTGAAAACATTTTCATCTCTATATATTACTTTGGCATGAAGCTTCACTAGTTCCTTGGCTTTTATTGCAGTGCTTGAGTATTGGCTTTCCTCTCTTTGCATTTCAATCAGTCGTTATAACGGTTGGCAAGGCTTTGCAGCAAAAAAATAGTAATAATAAAATATAACAACAGCAGACATGACAATTACATTGAAGACTTACTAAAACAAAATGAAAAAAAAAAAAAAAAAAAAAAAAAAATTAAAAAAAAAAAAAAAAAAAAAAGATTTAAAATGATGTAGAAATAAATAAAGCTTTATGTGCGCATGTATGAATGTAGACCTATTGTAGATTATGAATATCAAACCAATTGAAGAAGATAAAATCTATAGGCTGTAGACAAACCTTCTCAGAGTATCGGCCAAGGCGGTGCAATCTGGAATGAATCAATAGTTCTCGAACACAATAAATCTCTTGTAAAAAATACAGTTCCACAATGGAAATGTTCAGCATACAAGTCTCCTCCAGTAAATAAATAAACTCCCAGATAAACATGGACAACTAATTATCAAATTTTATCTTCTAATTATTATTAATATACCTCAATGATTGGTGGCTAGGAGAATCCTCATGCCCAATTCGTGGCGATATTTCTTCTCAATGGATTAGAACTATACCGAAGACCAAAAGTTGTTGCTCAGACATAAATCAGCAAAAAACAAATAAATAAAAAATAAAAATATCTCAATATAAAACTCTTCAATTGAAGGTTACATCACCTTACTTTGAATAGAAAGAATTCGCATTTCCTCCATATAGCACGCCCATGTCGGTTGCTGTATGCATAAGGAAATAACCCGCATGATAGGGTTAGATGTAACATAAAGAAACAAAAAGGAATAGATCAAATTCTATTACCATCAAAACTTAGATACAACACAAATTACAACAAAAATTTGAAAAAACAAGCAGACCAAACGAATGACGAAAGAGCTTTTGTAGGAACTCTAAAACCACAATTCTAAATATTTTTGCAGATTACCTATTATTTTTGCAGAGAGTGTCTTTCTGCAGATCTACCACCAAAGGCCTCTATAAGAACTCTAAAACCACATTTCTAAATTTTTAAAACTACGCAGGATATACATATCCAAAGTTGGTTCCTAAACAAAAACATGGTTACTAGCTAATGCAGAATTAACATAGCCAATAAGCTGCAGAAAATTAATGTGATGTAAACAGCAAGTAAGATTTATATATGCAAACCTGAATTCCATCGAATTATTCAAATAGGTTAAGCTTCTGTATGGCCTTGCACTGATCACTCCGGGAACGTGGAGACAAAGTCGACTCCTCCAGCAAAATCCTCTCAGTCAACTCCACAGCAGGCAACCTCTCCTTCGAAGCAGAAGATCTCTTCCAGAACAGTCAAGCCAACATCTCAGCAGGAGTCAACTGCTCCTTTTTCATAGTGGTTGCCATGAGATTGCATCCAAACATGAGCAGAAGCCAAAAGCGACAAGCTTGAGCCAACGACTGAACGACCTCAAACAAGTACTTGGAAGAATCGAAGATGACTCAGCTGCAGAACAAAGTCCAGGTCGAGGAGCAACACTTTCTCAATTATGCTCCTTAAAAGAATAAGAACCATACAGATTCTTCCAAAAGATTGATCAAATCCCCGCAGCAATATCAGTAAACTTAATGGCTTTGATTGCTTTTATATTTCAGTTCACATGAAAGAACAAGCTTCCCATTGTTGACATAAGCAATTCCAAACATAACCATAGTTGTGAGAGGTGGGAACCAAAACCTACATGAAAACATAATTGCATCAGTAAACAAAAAGCAATGAACTTTATAGCAGACCATTAGCACATCATAAGTTAACTGTTTCAAAATCCGTTATTTCATTTGAAATTATAAACTGGACATTTCTTGCAACAAAAATTTTTTTTTTTAAAAACAAAAAAAAAAAAAAAAAAATGAGTTCACATAAAAGGGGAAAAAACAACATTCAAATAGGAAAGAAGTATGATATGAGATAGAAATCACAGCTTTTTAGTCTGGAAAATAGAACAAGATGAAACTTGTGGGTTTATTCACTATATATATTTTATGCTTTCTGAAGAGGCACAATAACAAACAAGCTTACTCAAATATTGTTGACGAAAAAAAAAAAACAAAACCTTACTCAAATATTGAGGCATGGCAAAAACAAGCTTTCCATTGTGGCTGTAAGTAGTTCCAAGCTTGACTATAGTTGTGGGAATAAGGACTTAAAACTACATAACATTAACTAGACCAGTAAGAAAAGTGCAATGAACTTATATTTATAGAAGTTAAAAATTATTATTCAATTTCTTAATAAAACATTGGCATAAAAGAAGCAGAGTATGAATTGAGGAAAGCACCTACATAAATTATTCCCGAACAACAGAACAAAGGTGGCTCGTTTAAGAAGATTCAAAAGTACCTGAAGATTTGGAAAACGAGTGGATGCACAGCAATCACCATCCTAATACCATCAGCCCACAATCTCTAGCACCCCTCAGTGCAAACAAGGGACATTCCAAGATATGAAAATATGATAGAGATGGAATCAGCCCTTCTTGCAACAAAAAGCTTCCTCATTTAATTCACAGCAGTGTCGAATCTCTCGTTTCTATGAAGCAAGGATAGAACATGTATTTAAACGTTTCTAGAGTGGAATATCGAAGAAATGAGACATTTTCGCGGATATTTGACCATATGGTCAAAATTGAAAGAGTGCCAGAAACTGCTGTCATAACTAGCAAATGAGAACAGCATGTTTACCTTTCTCAAAAAAGACTCGTGATATCATTCATCACATCTTCCCGGGATTTTTCAAGGTGCCTTTTTAAATAGATACTCAAATCCTGAATTAGACTTGGTATTGTTTTCAACTGGTTTTGATGGAAGAGTACTTTTCTCAGCTGTTATGCTTTTAGCAGCTGCAAATTAGATTAAAAAATCCTCTTAAAAGAAGTAGCCAAAAGAAGCATCTTATTCTCTACAGCTATCATCTTAAGAAGCATCTTAAGAAAACAATGTTTTAACAACTCGAATTAAGGACTTGACCAGAGGAAGAACCTCGAATTCCACACAAAAAAAAAAAAAAAAAAAGGACCAATCACTGATGGAAAGTAATATTATTCAGAATGAAGGAATTAAATAATAAGAGTTGACTTAAAATGGAAAGCAATAATATTGTTCTTCTTAAAATTAAAAATAAAGAGAGAAATGAAAAGTACCTGAAAAATAGGAAACCTAAGCGACGCCGACGCCAATGATATGTGGGAAATCTTATGCCAATCTTTGCCCGTTCCTTTCTAACAAACGACATCCGGAGATATGAAGAGAGGACGGCAGCCCGTCGTCAGGCAAGCACTCCAGATTTTCGCAATCGTAAATCCTCATGTTTCTAAGAGAGCAGAGGTGTTGAAAGCCCATGCGATTATTGCACTTCGAGCAAGATCTGGAGCTTTTCACAATTCCAAAGGAGCAGCTTTTTAAGAGAGATGAGCTGCTCATGCACTTCTGAATTGCCAGCTCTTCAAGGGAGACGAGGTGTCGAAGGAAGTCGTGACCTATGTCTTCAAGGCTTGGAAGGTCTTCGATACGGAGACAAGTCAGAGAAGCGGGCAACCCAGTTCCTGACAAGCACCGGAGATTTTTGCAATAAGAAATTCTCAACTCTTTAAGGGAGGTGAGATGTTGAAGGAAAGCGTCCCAAAAATCTCGCCGGACACTTTCTTAAACGCAGTATCTTAAGAGAAGGCAAATAGTCTGGTAAGCGCCCTATCTTGAAACAATCTAAAATATGAAGGCTCTCAAGACTAGGGAAGCATCCCTCATCTTCTCGGCCTTCAGGAATTGACCACTCTTCCCACGCTGACATGTTTTTAAACTCTAAAAATTTTAAAGATCTAAATGGTTTTGTATTGGAAGAACCATCACCGTAAAATTCAGCACCTATTCTTACCACACCGCGGCAGTAATAAATTTTAAGATTTTGGAGAGAAGGTAGCTGACCAAATGGTGGCAACAAACAACAGTGGTGGCAATTGCTTAAACACACAGTAACCATGTTAGTATATGAACGATGACCTACCCAATTAGAGAATGTTTCGCCTCCATAACCCTCTATACGAAGCTCCTTCACATTTGTGTGAGGTTGGAGTGCATCAAGAACTTCTCCATGTCTTGTTGACTCATTAGCGGCATCATCGGAGCTCCAACGGTAGACTAGCTTGTTAAGATACCTTTTATCCCTTAAGTTAGCCTCCACAACATCCTCAACGACCTCAACATTTTCAAGCTTACGGATTTCAAGTTCTCCGGACAAGTAACGCAACCCTCCTAACTCCTTAATGCTAGAGCCACGCCTTTTGCACAAAACAAAGTAGCATAGTGTTTGCAAGTCTTTCATATTGCGCATCATAGGCGGCATCTCCTCCAGTGGTACGCCTTCAATTTCAAGATGGCGCAAATTGACTAGGTTTCCCATGTCGTTTGGCAACCGAGTTAGTTGTCCGCACCACGATAATCGCAAAGTCTGCAAATTATACAATCCACAAAGCGTATTGGGTATCTCTTTGATATTATCATTCCATGATAAATCCAAATACCGCAAATGCTTTAAATTGCCAATTGAGTCTGGCAGTATTATGATGTCTAGATTTGATAGACAAAGAGCTCTTAAGCATCCTCCGATAGATAGCAATCGTTCCAATTGTGGCATGCTAATTGAGAATGTCCCATCGAGTGATCCTGATTGTATGAAAGTGCGGAGACTCTTAGCCAAAGATAAACCTTCAAAACTCTCCAAGTCCTTCGTTTTGGAATATGAGACATGGCGAGTCTTGCCAGAAAATTTAGCTTTGTCACCCTCATCCAACCTACAAGAAAATTCACCCGATACAAATATTGCTAAATCATGTGTGAGGTCATGCATTAAGATGGTCGATTTATCCTCACTCAATGGTTGGAACAATGACCTTGATATCAGATCTTGAAAGTACTCATTCCCTACATCCTCAATTCTTTTCCCTCTCCTTCCAGATTGCAAAAGACCTTCCGCCATCCATAGCAATATTATTTCTTTTTTTTTTTTATATTCATTCATTACATAATCCTTGGGAAATATCGAGCAGTAAACAAAGCATTTCTTTAGATGTGAAGGTAGATAATGATAGCTCAACCATAGAGAAGGCAAAATGTTACTCTGATTTCCTTGCAACTGCAACTCCCATATGTCGCTATTGAGTATCTCTCTCCATTCCTCTGGATCCACCACCGAGCGCAAGAGACCAGCAAGAGACTTAACCGCTAAAGGAACACCTTTGCACTTTTCGACAATATCTCTGCCAATTGCATGTAATTCTTGATACGCCTCTGACCTTGCACCATTAATAAACACATGCTTCTCAAACAACTTCCAACAATCATCATCAGACACTTCCCCAAGATGATGTGTAGGCACATTTCCCATCTTGTTTGCGATGATATCAAGACGGGGTCGTCACAATGATTCCACTTCCATGAGCTCCGGATTGGAAAGAACTCAGTAAGGCCTCCCAACGCTCATAGTTCTCGTCCCATACATCATCCAGAACAAAGAGAAACTTCTTGCCCCTCAATGACTCCTTTAACTCGCATTGAAGTTGATAGGGGTCCTCAGTTTCACATTTTTGCTTGGTGATCCCTTGAAGAAGTTTTTTAGCTATTACAGAAATCTCAGATTCATCGGAAACAGTAACCCACGATCTGATATCAAATTGACTCTTCACACTTATATCCTCATATACTAGCTGAGCAAGGGTGGTCTTGCCGATGCCATCCATGCCCACAATGGGAATCACAGATATCTTGTTCTCGCTACTACTACCATTATCTGGACGCAATATCTTCATGATTTTCTCCTTATCATCATTCCTTCCATAGACACGAGATTCATCAGCCAAAGAAGCGGGTAATCTTTGAGAAAGCCTTTTAGTGACACCTTCTTTTAAACCAAGGACCTTTTTTTGCTTGACAATAAAATGTAGTTTATCAAGGATCTTCTCTATTGCTTGGTCAAATGAAGTGTGAGAACTAGAGATGGTGGTTTTGAGTTTCTTAAACATGCTTCCAGATCCAGTTTCAATCTCGTACCTCAAAGTTTCATAGTTGATGTCGTCCAGCAACTCCTCTGCAGCACAGATGGCGTCTTTGAGCTCAAAAAGCCACTCCCTCACAAGCGGATTTGTGAGTTGTTTCATCTCAGCATCATCCAGGACTTGATTAGCAGAGCACAACATCATCTTCAGCTTCTTCAGTAACCACTCATCGAGTTTCAATCCACGGAAGAAGTTGAGGTCCTCAGCTTTTGTAGAAGCCAGCTTGTCAAACAGCCTGTCGAACAAAGAAGAGAGGAAAGCTCCTCCAACAAGTTCAGCAGCCATGGTTTTGGTTGATATTGCAGTTACAGAGACAAGAGAAGAAAGGAAAGAAGGGAAAGTTTAATGGTGAGTTCTCAATTGCAGCTTGCAATTAGGAGGGGAAAGGAAAGGAAAGGAAAGTCTCACACTCCACAGAGAAAAACAAAGCACAGAACTTTCTTTAAAAATTACTAGAAACAGTGATGAAAATCAATGGTTAAATAAATAATTACTTCAGTAACATAATCTCTTACGGCCTGTTTTTTAAAGCGTGATTTAAGTATAATTTTTAAGTGGAATTTAAATTGGAGTTATAATTTAAATAAAATTGAATAAAATTAAATAAAATTAAAATTTAAAAAAATGTAAATTTAAATAAAATTGTAATTTGAGTTTTAATTTTTTTTAAATTTTATTGTAAAGGAATGACCCTTAAGCTGTTTAATATTCTCTGTTTGGCTCAATATTCTCTGGAATTGTGATGTTAGTGTGAATGTGCTCTTTTGTCTCAAATTTACATGAAAAATTCCACACAATACGGGTGAATGATTGGTCTCAGTCAATAGAAAATTGCGAGGAAGGCACTTAAAAAGAAGAAGAAGGAAAAAAAACATGACCCAAAGTCGCTCAACAGAAACAAAAGGTGGGGTATAAAATTGTGCCGACATTATTGAATAAAATTGTGCCCACATGGCCATTTGAATATATTTTTTTAATAAAAAAAACGCTTTTATTTAGAAAAGAAGGCTTTTTAAGTTCATTTCAAGGTTATTAGTATTTCCATTCAATTATAAACACCAACTAAACAGAGTGAATTTTTGTTTACATTCGAATTTCATTACTGTTGACTTCACTTTTTTTGTTTTCCTGTTAGGAAATTATCGTTGCTATTACGTGCTATTACTATTTTTTTTACTGTAACTAAACGTGCCTTTAATATTTGGAGAGAGGGGAAGAACAAGAAAAAATTCAAAAAAAAAAAAAAAAGAGAAGACAATGAGGAAATTGTCGTTGCTTACAAGCAGGGAAGCGAAAGAAAAGTCTTGGTCAATAGGATAATGGGAGGAATGCACTGAAAAAAAAAAAAAAAAAAAAAAAAAAAAAAAAAAAAAAAAAAAAAAAAAAAAAAAAAAAAAAGAAAGTAAAGTGGACCCAAACTCATCTAACAAAGACAAGGTTAAAAGAAAGAGAGAAAAAAGTGAGTACAGAAAAACCAAAGTATGTGTCCACCATTCTTTTTTCCAAACCCAAAAATAAAAAATAAAAATAAAAAAAATAAAAAGGGTGCATCTGGGTAGCATAACCAATGATGCTCATTGGACAATTTTCTTTTTTTTTTTTCCTCTTAAACATTGGAACTTGTTATAACGGGAAAAAGACATAGCATTTGAGGACAAAAAGTTACAGCAATGCATAATAGCTGGTTAGCACAAGGGGAAGTGGGGCAATAAATGAGAAGCCAAAAAGTAAAAAATATAAAGACCTTATTAATTTTATTAATTTGAATTTAAATTTTAACTTTTATTATAGAAAAAAAAATTTAAAAATAATTATATTTAATTTTTTTATTATAATAAAAAAAATTTATATAAAATTACATTTTAATTTAAATTAAAAATTTAAATTTACGAATTAAATGGATTCTTTAAAATTTAACAAAGTGTGTGGATAATCAAAATTAATAAAATTTACGGAACATTTTTTTTTTTTTTAAAAAGTCTTATAGTAAGCATAACATACGAATTACTTTCTTAACAAAATATACAATATTAACACATTTGTTCTTCAAAGCATATACATATAACTATATTTATATATATCTACTCTTTAAAGCTTACTTACTAATAGCCATAATCCTTAAAACTACTTAACATATAGTTTCAGAGTCATAATTTGTAAAACTATTTATAACATAAAACTGATTGCGGAAATACTACGAGCGGTATCCATTTCTCAATCTCCACATCGTTCGTCCACTCGCCGTCAGTCCATCAGGCATTATATGCCGATTGCTTACCTACAGTATAAACATTCTATAATGAGCTTTCGCTCAGCAAGTAGGAACTACCTCTCACAAAATAACTGTAAGTTCACATGAATAAATATGCATGAGCCAATTATGCTTAATTATGATGTCTTATCAGAATTTTATTATCTTATCTTGTCTTGTCTTGTGGGCCCGAGTGCTCGCGTACCACTTGCGCGCAATCATCGGGACGTGAGGGTTTGCAAGGCCCCCCGTGACACCGTGATTATAACTTGAATGCCTCCCTTGAGTCAGAGGACATTATATATTTTTTTTCTTTTCTTTTTCTTTTCTCCCTTGCAGAGCTTGAGTTACCAGCCTCCATTGTAATGACTGAGAAAATATCAGACTTTAAATAATGTAATTTATTTATTTAAGCCAAGAATTTTCCTAAAAAATATTATGTGACTGAAGGATTTATGGAATTAATATATGTATTCCTAAATATAGCAGATTTCATTCTAAGTTCATGTTTTCGATCAAGTAAATTCGATCGATAAATTCTCGTCGTACTTTAAGGCGGAATGATTTTTAGTACAAGTATAGTTTGAGAATTTTAATTTCAAGAATCTCCAAGCACAACACGATATTAGCAGCGTAAAAAAAGTGCACTAATATTTTAAAAGAAGAGAAAATTCTTAATTATTAGACAGTTAGGTTAAAGTCACAAGATAAATACCCATAACAGAGCTTAAGAACCGTTTAACTCGCTGATTCGAGTTTTTAATTTAAATTGAGATATGATTTTATATTAAAATTTTTTATTATAATAAAAAAATTAAATGTGATTAAATGTCGTCGAAAGAAGCCCCGCATATCTGGAGAATCAAGCTTGTCAAACAGCCTGTCAAACAAAGAAGAGAGGAAAGCTTGTTCAGCAGCCATGTTTTTGGTCGATATTGCAGTTACAGAGACAAGAGAAGAAAGGAAAGAAGGAAAAGTAAGTTTGGTGAGTTCTCAATTGCAGCTGACAAGCAGGGGAAAAGAGAAAGGAAAGTCTTCGTCAATAGAAAAAAGGGTGGAAGGCACTGAAAAGAAAAAAAGTGGATCCAAAGTCACCTAACAAATACCGCATTTGAGGGGAAAAAAGTGAAGCGAAGACACGGCATGTGAGGGGAAAAGTTAAAAAAAAAAGAATATATATATATATATATATACACACTTATGTTTAGTTGATTTTGAAATCTTTATTTTAGAGAATTTCTCTAGTAAAAGACTCTGTATAGGTAGAGTTAATTTTTTACCGTACATAATTTTTAATAAAGATTTGATTGTTGAGAATTTAAGATTTTTTTATAGTTTATTTTTCAGTCCCTAGTAAATATATTGCCTAGTTTTATATAGAAAAGAAGTTTTCTATGTTCATTTCAAAATTATTGGTACATATATCCATTCCATTTCAAAATCAACTTAACATTAAGATTCTTATTCAGGTTATTTTCTAAAGCGTTAATCAAACAAAGGTTGAATTTCATCCACAATTTTTAAACTAACAATCTCATAAAGAAAAACTTTGAGGCCCAATATAAAGTCGACCGGCACTTTTGTTTTTTTGTTCACATTACATACGTACTTTTTATTCGTCGGTTTGGTTTTTTTTTTTTTTTTTTTTTTGAGAGAATTGCTTACTATTATCATTCTCATAATCTCATTTACTACACCAAACATCTCTTTATGTGTCAAAAAATAATAATAAAAGAATGGGAGAGAGATTTTAAACAACGAGAGTCCAAAAAAAAAAAAAAAAGCTTTGAAGCAACAATCTCAGTGCAGGAAAAAATTATCCAGATTCACATTTCACATAGAAAAACAAAGCACAGCAGTTTCTTTAAAAATTCCTAAATACAGTGATGATATCAAGGGTTAAATACATAATTACTTCAAAGTCAATAGGAAAAAGGGTGGAAGGCACTGAAAATAAAAAAAAGTAAACCTAAAATTGAGTTATTTAGTTCATGAATTAGAATTATGTAATTAAAATTATTTTTTATTTATGTATATTTTTTATAAAAAAAATATTATAATAAACTACGAATCATAATTTAAATTAATAAATGAATCTAAGTACTAAATATCTTCCTAACAAAGCCAAAGTATGTGTCCACCATTCTTTTTTCCGAACCCAAAAAAAAAAAAAAAAAGGGGTATCTGGGTAGCATAGCCAATGATGCTCATTGGACAGTTTTTTTTTTCCTAAACATTAAAACTTATTATAACGGGAAAAGGACACGGCATTTGAGGGGAAAAGGTTACGTCAAAGCATAATAGCTGGGTAGCACAATGAGAAGTAGATAGTGCTCGCAATTCTAATAGTAATACGACGATTTAAAATTTATATGAAATTAATAAGTTTAGATTTAACATAAATAAATTTAGATTAAAATTAAATTAAACTCATGAAACATAATTAAATAATATATTATTTTTAAGTTGACCCATTAATTTGCTCTTTTCTCTCAAATTTACATGAAAAATTTCACACAATACGGGTGAATGATTGGTCTCAGTCAATAAAAAATAACAAGGAAAGTACTTAAAAAGAAGAAGGAAAAGAAAAAGACCCAAAGTCGCTCAACAGAAACAAAAGAGTGGGGTATAAAATTGTGCCGACATTATTGAAAAAAATTATGCCCAAATGGCCCTTTGAATATATTTTTTTAATAAAAAAACGTTTTTATTTAGAAAAGAAGTTTTTTTAAGTTCATTTTAAGGTTATTAGTATTTTCATTTAATTATAAACACCAACCAAACAGAGTGAATTTTTGTTTATATTCAAATTTCATTACCGTTGACTTCACTTTTTTTGTTTTCCTGTTAAGAAATTGTCGTTGCTATTACGTATTATTATTATTTTTTTACTGTAACTAAACGTGCCTTTGATATTTGGAAAGAGGGGAAAAACAAGAAAAAATTCAAAAAAATAAAGAAAAATAAAGAGAAGACAATGAGGAGGAAAAGGGAAGCGAAAGAAAAGTGTTGGTCAATAGGAAAAAGAGTGTAAGGCACTGAAAAGAAAAAAAAAAAAGGGGACCCAAACTCATCTAACAAAGAAAAGGTTAAAAGAAAGTGAGAAAAAAGTGAGTACAGCAAAACCAAAGTATGTGTCCACCATTCTTTTTTCCAAACCCAAAAATAAAAA